CTCTATTGCCCAGGCTGGAGTGTAGTGGCATGATCTCAGCTCACTGCAACCTCCGCCTACCAGCTTCAAGATTCTCCTGCCTCAGCCTCCCTAGTAGCTGGGATTACAGGTGCCTACCACCACGCCCAGCTACTTTTTGTATTTTTAGTAGAGATAGGGTTTCACTATGTTGGCCAGGCTGGTCTCGAACTCCCGACCTCAGGTGATTTACCCACCTCAGCCTCCCAAAGTGTTGGGATTACAAGTGTTGAGCCACCATGCCTGGCCTGCACTGTATTTCTTAATGTCAAACTGTGTGGTGCTTATATTGTTAAAATCAACTTATTTATTATATATTTTGGCTTTCAGGTGGAATTTTAGAAAATACCTGACAAGCGAATAGTTCTAAAAGTGCTTTCTCTTAAGTTCTTTGGTATAATTTGGTCATTTTGATAGTAATCAACCCATTAAGTAGGTGCTTTAACACCCACCTATCAATGAAAATGGAATGCGGAGTACAGATATTTAGAAAACCACAACTGAGGAATAAATTATATTTTTGACCTCATGGAAAACAGAACTCTTAAAATTTTGCTTATGTTTCTGTGGCAAAGATAGCCATACTGCCTACAAAGACATCTCTAACTTGATTCATATTAAAGAAATGTTCTACAAAACATCTTTCTGTTTATTAGAAGTAACTGTTCTATATACTTTTTTAAAGTAGAAGAGGCAAGTTTTCACTTGAAAAAAGGAAAATTTTGAATTTCCTAAAGTTATACTCTTTTATACCTTCTGATTCAGTGAGTGTCAACATCTAGAATTTAGTGTCAGTTTGCAGACTGTTAAGGATTATTCTTCTATTTCAGGAACAGCTAATTTTCCTCTTGAAGCATTTTCTCTATTTCCTTATCCCAGTTTTCATCTCGTTTTTCTGATTCTGTCACCACTTCATATTCTTGAAGTTCCTGCTGCAGTTCTTTTTCCCAATCTGCAGAATCCTCTAAAAAAAACAAAGGAGAGGAAAAATATTTTCTCTCAACTCATAATGCTGGGGTTCACAATTCGGTCCATCTCAAATACCTATGTAAAGTCCTAGCTGCCTTAATTTTTAACATCTCAGGTTTCATTACTGTGTGTGCTCATAAAAAGTCATTAAATTTTAACAATGACCAAGTATAAATATAATTAGAAAGATAAATCTGTTAATATAGAAGCAAAGGTATCAGATGTCATCAATATATTTGGGGTGAGGCCGGGCACGGTGGCTCAAGCCTGTAATCCTAGCACTTTGGGAGGCCGAGGCGGGTGGATCACGAGGTCAAGAGATCGAGACCATCCTGGTCAACATGGTGAAACCCCGTCTCTACCAAAAATACAAAAAAAAATTAGCTGGGCA